CTTAACGACATAGTACAGCGTGGGCATCAAGACTACGTACATTTCATAGAAAATATCTGAAAACAAATAGCTCAAAGGATATCCGCTGGTCTCTGCGCAAACATGACTGGCGATCGAACACTACCCCGGGAAGAAGAAATTTGTAAGTTTTCAAATAAAACTAGCTGTGAGTTTTGGCATTAAGTATTGCAGAATATTACAAAATGATTTATTCAAAAACAGTTCGTGTTTTATTATTTAATCATCCGCGTTGGTGCGCGTCAAATTTGCTTCTTTCTTTATACTTTGCAACTATATTGCTAGCCACTTGTACCGTTGCTGAATAATGTCGGGCTAAAAATATTCACCATAAGTCGTAAATCATACTTTGTGTTTCGTAGCATCAATTGCCCAACGTTGTGTATACATAGAAATAAAAAACGCGTAAAAGCTCATATTATACCACACAATGTCGTTTTAACAACTACATTATGTACTTTACCCGTAATATAACCGAGCCCACATAAAGGGTTGGTGGTGCGGTACGGGATGACTCGTGTGACAAAAAGAAGAAAAGAACTTTTGGTATGTGTATGTTTTTTTTTTTTTACATGAATCGGTCTATATTTGATGGAACATAATATTTATGTCGGTATAAGCCCAAACAGGGAATGTGGACCCAACGAGTTCCATAAGTTAAAGAGTGTGCACTTATCTTAACAATTTGTCTCATACGAAATCACTTGTAAAAAGAATATCACGTACCAGGTTGAGAAATTACATAATGTTAAAATATCTCTACTTTTTCTTGCCTGCCTTCTTCGTATAGCCTCAGTTTTATTACATTGTTAAGTTTATTTTAAATAGCGTATTCCCTTTATGCTATAACGTTTAAAAACAAGTATCACCAAAACGCGTAATAGACATAAGAACAATTGAAAAAAAAACGCGTTGACAGTTTATGTATTAATTTTAATCTCGACTTCCTCGGACCAAATTCATTCCTGAAAATAAAAATTTCGATCATGTTAGTTTTAGTTTAGTATAGTTACTATAGTCCATACTAATTTTGTCCAATGTCCGTCTGCAGGGCAGTATTATAATAATGCATTAGATAAAACCGTTTCGGTTTGAAACGGTATTTCAATTAATGACTTATATATTAAAAAATGAATAACACTAATGGCAGAGAACTGGCGCCGTCGTTTACTTGTATAAAACCGTTCAGACTCATGAATAACATTCGTTCAACGCGCCACTCAGTAAATGTAACTCTATTATGGTTCAAAGTGACTCGGAACGTGGAATAAAACTCACCGAGTCCCGAGACCTTTACGTTATCCTCCCAACACTTGTTTATACTTGTAATAATTATTAACTGATAGATAAGATCTTACAATATCGTTAAAATACGTTAATTTACTTGGACAATACTTCGGATCGTTTCGATAAAAAAATAACTTTAAAATTGTTAATTTATTTATTTTTATTGCAAAAAACGTGACTAATAAAAGTAATAAAAATTACATTAAACGCGTAAGCCTACAAAGAGCCACTCGCTGTAGTTATTATAACTATAATTTATTTAAATATAATATATATTTATATACATAAAATATAAGTACTTTTTTTTATAACATACTTAACACAGTATAACTTAAACCAACAAGTGACCTCTTCAACTTATAAAAATACAATCTTTACACCCTTTCTTTTTATATGTATTATATATAGTTCATATGTATATTTTGGTAATTAGTGTTAATAAATACCACTAATATTCTTTTGTGTTACTGTTTTCATTTTCCGGCCTAAATATTTAAAGCCGTGTGTTAGTTGTTATATTACATACATTAGTATTAGTATATTAGTATTACAAGTTACGATTTTTGTTAATTTCGGGTTTTACAAAAGATAAATGTACAACTCATTTATTTGCACTACTCCTCTCCCTGTTTTGAAATTCACATCTAGCTACGGTACTGAGTAAAATTGAGTTCGACAAAATTTATTCAGACCGTCCTCTAAGATCTACTGTTCCGTTTAGTCTAGTTAGTTGTATAGAAGTTAGACCGGATTCAAATATTATATTATAACACCACACTGATGTTGGCTGTTATAATTGTCTTAAAAAACTGCGGTCGGAATACGGGAAAAAATACATATAGTTGATCCAACAAAACATTTAGTTGGACAAACTAAATGTATAGTTGCGTTAGCAATACTCATTCAGTCGGCCCAACTATTTATTTAGTTACTTCAACTAGAAATGAATTGTGTCTCTATATTAACCATAATTTAAGTTCGACCGACTATTTTTTGTGAATGTATAAAATTAATACCTACTTATTTTTTATTTTGACAGAATATGCATTATGATTAAGTACTTGCGGTTTATACACCGTGTGCGCGTTATTTATGGTATTCGACTGCAGTTTGATAAAATATGATGTGTGCTCGTAACAGAAATAATTTAAAGGCGCATATCGGTAAGGTTCTAAGTCAGTCGACCGTGAAAATGGAACGCAGTGAATTACGATCAGGATTACACGGCGTGCCGAACCAAAAGTTAAAAAAAGCGCTAAAAAAATAAAAATCACACCTATTCACCGCAGTGTGGAACTCCCCAAAGAGAAATCATTTCTCATTAGCAAAAGATTGATGATTGTCTTTGTGATGTGTATGTCACGACGATAATATTAATTGCCAGTGCTTAATAATAATGCCCTCGTGGAAAGGAAAAAAAAACAAATACAAATTGATTAAAATTATTACAATCGCATACATTTTGGATTACAAGATATGACGTTATGTAGATCTCTGTAGGGAATTGGAATTAATCGTTTTTGTTTACAGCAACGCTGTTAATATGCAATTTACCAAAACAATCAAACATTAATTTTCGGAGAGTCAACGCATAGATTGCGGTTAAATAAATCGTATAGTATGCGCCTTAATAAATATTGTGTGTTGTATCAAATTAACATCTGATAAACTACAATTTACAAGGGAAGCTTGCAAATTATTGACATTACAAATTATATATTATATATTTGAAAAACAGGTTCAAACTCCAAGCCGTATCAAACCAATAAAATATTATCGGTATAATTTTTTTTTTACACTACTTTTAAGTTATTTTTTTTGCGCGGAGTTGTTTCACTAACAAGTAATTATTATTATAATATTTTTTTGTATACAGTTTTAATTGTATAATTAACAAAGTTAAGCCACGTTTAGTGTAGTTCTCATGCTGTGTATTATATTAGATAATTATTTATATATAATTGATAAATCTGTTATCTGAGAGATACTTGATTTTTCTGTTTAACATTCCAATGATTCGATTCCGGTTCATCTGTAATTAATATAAAAACTAATGATATATTTTCTTATTGAATTCCTCGGTGCGCGAATGGTTCTTATAATAACTAACGATTACAATTATTATGTAAACGCTCCATTAAACCGTCAGTGTCGAAAGATCCCATACGATTATGTATTGAATACATTTTCTAAATCTCAAATCAAGTTCATTCGAAAACGTATCACCTACAATTATTATAGATCCAACTAGACTTTTGGGACACGGTTTATCAACAAATATGTACATCAGCCGAGAGAAAATAAAACATTTAGTTCTCTCCTATTGACTTCGCGGTGTTCGTTGCACCCTACAATTACATGGTATTTTTACACGAATATTAGGTACACACATATTGATTGATTTTGTTATTTATTTTTGGGGTTAATTTGTGAATATCGGTTCGGGTTATATATACATATATACTCGTATATATATAATTTGCTCTTCATTACCGAGATACATATTTTTGTGGTATAATAACGGTCGCACAGCGATAAAACTTTTCCATAACAACTAGATTAACAGTACATCTAGCGTTTTAGCGCGTAGACAATTTCCCTACCCCACTCACGAATAATACCCCAAGGACTTTATTCAACGACAGTTTCCCAAAGTTGTGCTTCATTGTTTTCTATGTAATGTCTAACTAGTACGTTTGTGATTTAGAGGCCTAATAACGATGTTTAGGTTGAGATATTATTTCAATGGCTGCGTTCCCCGCTTAGACATCTCGACAGTGCCATTCGAATAACTATTGTATCCATTATCCATTATTATAATTATTGTTATTGTTAAGAGACACCGAGTGCTATTCAAACCGTAAAATCATTCGTTTGAGTATAATTAAATTCGTTTACATAACAATTTACTCGCCGTATCCGCGATTCTGTGAAATGTGATTACATCGTCAAGCTGTGATTGTTAAACATAACATTTTGTTTTCACTTATCCCAAGATAAATGTATTCAAACAAATATAAATACTATTAAGTAGTGAACTAAATAGAAGATACAGTGGAGTTGGTTCTCGTGTACATATGTGATGTAAATATAATGTCAACGCAACATTAATCTACTTGCATTAGCATTAGTTTTGTCGTAAAAGCTTTTTCTTAAGCGTTTGATAACGATTGTAGTAACGTCAGATGTTGTCTACTTTCAAGCATGCCACTATCTGGACAATCTGAACTTTTTTTCTCGCACCGATTGTTTGCTTGTTTATAAATAATGTCTTTAGTTTTAATTGTTGGCCTAAAATACCGTTATCCTATTTAGTAGTTAAAAAATATGCTTTAAACTATTGTAAAAGGGAAAAATCTTACATTACCTATGTCGTGTTAATGTTTCACTGGGAATTTTAATAATGCAAAATTGTGGTGTGTTGAAATGACGAGAAGGAGCGTATTATTTTAATATTTGAATAGATCAATTTTTAGGGTTCTTTGGTCTGAAAATTAGACAAAAGATATATCTATATATACAATTTTCTCAAAAATCTTTCAAACTTTTTCTTTATTAAGGAAAACCCAAAAAATAGGGCAAATTACACGTTAAAGGTTGTTTAATTGTGTTATTAATTGCATCGAGACACTATTGTACACAAAAGTGACAATTGTTGTTCGTAATATTAACCGATTGATTCGTCTGGTTCGCAGGTCTGCAGCGTCCCGGGCACCGTCCTCGTGAGGTCGCCGTCCCGATGCGGCGGGGCCGGGCTCAGGGACATCCGATGAACACGGGCTGCTGCACGTGGTCGCTGACGGTCGGCCACCGGCTTCGGTCCAGCATAACCTAAAGAGCAGCGCCGGACGGGCAGACGGGAAATCGGCCGGTGGTCGCACATGATTTCCGCGTTGGAAGTGGCCGCGTTCGGCAACGAGAGCTCGCCGCTGACCGCCGTGATCGCCGGCAACGCGCAAGCCAACGACACCGGGTCCAACGATACCGCGACCAGCGTCATCCAGTTCTTGGACGCCGACCTATCGTTCCCCGACTACATCCGCACCACGTGCATGGTGGTGTGCGTCATCATCCTGGGCGTGGGTGTGGTCGGCAACATGATGGTGCCCATAGTGATCCTCAAGTCCAAGGACATGCGCAACTCGACCAACATATTCCTGATGAACCTGAGCATAGCCGACCTCATGGTGTTGCTCATATGCACTCCCACGGTGTTCGTCGAAGTCAACTCCAGGCCGGAAACGTGGGTGCTCGGCGAAGAGCTTTGTGAGTACCTATTTACCGTTTGTCAACTTAAGTTTAATGTGCTTACCAATGGATTAGTCCTCGATGACGGGACGCACGACAAACGATTTGTTTCATTACGGTCAAACAAAACGTTTGGTCGATTTCTCAAATTATGTACTTACGTTTGTATAAAGCGACCAAAACTATTTGCAACGAACTAGTTTTGAAAATCGAAATGGCTTATTACCAATTAAATAATTCTTAACTGTTTTTAAATCACTGTACCGTTTTAAAAGATAAAACGCTCGCATTGCGCACTAAGTAATTAAATGATTACAATCCATTTTTTAAAAGTGGTTTAGTTTCAAAAGGTTTTTATCTATACATAGTGTATACACTTAGTAGATTGTTAGACTTAAGCAATAATAATTAACCCTATCATTGAATAGTTATGTACTTATTGATATTAATTGTTCCGTCATAAAAAAAAAATTAGAATCGCAAGCTGAAATTCTAATAGGGACAGTTTTCAATTTCGATTGTGCTTTATCTTCATATTATTAATAGTGTTTTAACTTCTGGGATTGTTGAAGACTGAATACGTCAATTTAGAGATTTCACTCTACTGATATGTTAAGCGGATACGCTAATATTATCATAAATGATTCAAGGCCGAGTTAAAAACAATATATTTTAATAGCTCAATAATTCCTATACAGAATTTACAAACAATAATACCAGGCGTTTATTAGAATTTTTTGTACTTTGAAAAAAAAAACCAAAATGCACTTCTTGGAAATATACGAAAACAATAATTTAATTTTTATTTTAATGAACTTTTTGCATTTTGTTCTTTTAACCATAATATGTACATCGGAGTACAGTCGATTAAACGACAAGTTTACAACAAAACTAGAACCTTTTTGTCCAGATTTTTACGAGAGCGAGGTACGAGCACTATACTTCAATCGCTACAGACAAATAATAGCTTATATAACTCAGCAAACGCGCACCCACTCAGCGTTAATATTATGACAGAATTATTAAATTTTATTCCGGCGATGATAACACTTCCTGTTGTAGTTTCGTCGCCGTGTAACGTTCACAGCGGACGACTGTGAATTTTTCGAAGTAGGCGAATTTTCGGCGAATTTCGTTGGTTAAGCGCGCGAAAATAGCGCCAAGGCCGAGGCGACGCACATTCTTATCTGGATTATTATTAACAACTCCACTCGGCGACCGTTAAAACAAGACACATCGATTGTTATCGCATCTTCTTGTACCGCGCGTTCCGGAGACGCTTTATAATTAGACGTGAACGGCAAACATATTTTATAACAGACGAATCGCTCGCCGCCCCTCGCCCGCGTTTTCCATACCCTCTTCGCCGCCGTCGATTTACACAATGTTAGGTCGGCTCCGCTGTGGTATTTGGCCGAGATTCTCGATCACATCACTGTGAACTTTTTCAAGTTATATTATTATTCCCAAGCCAGCCGAAAAATGTCTCCCCCCCCCACCCCCGCTAGTCTTAAACGTTGGACAGCACGCTATCGATATTACAATATGCCACCACGGATTACGGTGGTGCCACAAAAGAGCAATGACAAGGAAAACATATTAAAATATCGGATTAAAACGTCATGACAAAATATTCAAAAGGTTAGGTTAGGTCGGGGCGCATTCGACTTTTTCAGTTTTTAAATTATCGCTTGGTAAAAATAAAAAAACAACTTTACAATGTACGTGCATTTCTCAACGCCTTACTTAAGTATTCTTGCGGTATCACATCCCGTAATGGTTTTCGCCCTTTGAAGCCAAATTGTTTGTTTATCACTTACCTAACGTTTGTTTTTCAACTACGCCCGTCATCTGTTTGCCGGTCCACACAAAGTTTGTTCGGTTAAGAGTTTTTAACTTAAAAATTCAAAATCATAAAAAAATACAACAGGGTGTCTGTTTCCGTCGAACTATAGTGTAAAGTAATAATTCTTAGCGAATTAACTGATTGGCCGTCATCAATAGAGTATTCAATATCACTTGTATTTTAATAAACACTTGATTAGGTAATTCACAACTTATTCTTGGCTTTGTATCAAAAAATAATTTTACAAAATAACATTAAAATATTGTCAACTATATAAAAAAAAAAACTGTTCCTAAAATAGGCGTCTTTGTTTCAATGTGTACAAGTACACGTTGTTATTGATATATAAATTCTGAGTATGTATAAATTTGGCGTTTGTTATTAATTATTGTTGTGTCAATATAAGTATAATACAAAAATATTTTACGTTTTAAAAGCAAATTTTTAGAAATCCATTATCATATGTGTTATCATTATGTGTTTCATATTCCCAGGATAGATGCTTTGATACTTAAACAAAAGAGTTTGATTAAGAAACTTAATGTACACAGAAGAGAATTTATTGAGATTTAAGTATACGGTACCTTGGAAACTATTTTGGGATACATGTTATGAATCGAGGTTTGTTACTGTATGAATACAGCAACCTTAACTTGGTAATTTATTATGAGCTTAATTAACGTTGTTTACTCACACACATTTTAGTCTATTATAATTTGTAACATTTAATGCTATCCAAGTTTTGGCATTACTTTGTTTTTAATTTATAGAACAAAAATCATGTATTTGTTAAACTTATACATCATAATTATTACACTAAATACTATTACTATTTTTATTTTACTATGATTTAACTGAATATAGGTGAAGCATTTTAAGAATATTCTTGGGCGAAAATTAAGTTATAATGAAGACGAAAAAACGGGAGACAAAAAAATAACTTTTAAAAAGATAACAAAATCTCATTTGCAACACACTCGGGCATGACAAATGTAGGTTGACACGAAATGATAAATTGTAGAAAATTTGCATGCAAAAAGTTGGCGAAACCAATCGGAATGTCAATGAGAAACACAGATAAATAGTTGTCAATAGAATATGATGGACGAGGCGTGTCACAGTTACATATTTTAATCATGTTGGTAGCACAAAGCAAAAAAGCTGATCCCGTGTATAAGATAGGAACGTTGAGCAAAAGAAATTATTTCTAGTTTAAAGTGACTCTAGTACTTATTATATTAGTATAACTAGTCATTCTCGTTTCTCGGTGAAGCGGTCATTCATCCTACAACAATCAACTTACCATTCGGATTTCGGAACGGGTCCAAACGTCAGACTGTGGTCTGTACGAGCAAATCTAATTTTTCTATCGACCGCTCCTCTGCGACCTTCAAAAATCGTCTAGGATTTATTGTAGTTTCCAAATTAATTGATACACGTGTTGAGTATAGTTGACGAGCGAGACAAATAAATTCCTCAATCGAAATTTTAACCTATCGCCGTTTGAATTTTTCACGACTCAGGGTTAACAATTCTAGACACATCAATTGAAACTTTTATCGTTTGTGTTGAAAAAAGTCGCTCATCTTCCGGGTAGATTTACATACTTACATCAGTCATAACGAATACCCGTGTACACGTTATAATATAGGTCAGCTGAAACGTCACCACAACGGAAAACTTTGTCGAGTTTCCGGGATTCATTATTAATTAATCTGCGGGTGGTTGGAAATAAAAGCGTTCTACTACTAAAAAAAGTAAAGAAAATAAAAACGCTATAAAATAGGAAATCTGTGGAAAAACTAAACTACTGCTACTTGACACAATAATATATACATGATGTAGGTCAATCAATGACAATAGTAGCCGACACTTATACTAGCTAACTTCCGGGTAACCGTCTTAATGTCAACAGTAGCTTTAAAAAAAAAATGCACTACTAATAAAAGGTCTGAAACCGAGATTATCTTTTTTTATTCGCTTAATAAAATGATTAAGATAACAATTTGCAGTTCAGCCTAACCGCAGGACAGTTGTAATCGTGATTACAACAACTGAAGTCCACTGGTCGTTTGACGGCAACAGATCAGATAATACTAGCCGGGATAAGTAATTAGCCGGACACGGTAAAGACTAAATGTCTAAATCCCAATGATTACTTACTCGGTTGAATACGGTCTACATCCATTATCAACTTGGTTTCCCCTTCGTTGCCCGCGACTCTTTAGCATTTAACATCTTCCCGTTATAAATGATTTCAAGCCGGATAAACCGAGTGACATCTCGAAGGCCTAGAGGGAATTTAAGAACGTCAAGCGCCGCACGAGTGGATGTAAAATTGAAAGATTACTAATAAATTATAATATTAGTTGGATGACACGTGCGACGTTTGCGGATGATATATTATAAGTAATAAGGTGATAAGATTGATGCGGTGCTTGGCGCTTTAACATTTTTTAATTCACAAATACTTCACCATGGCGTAGCATACAAGATGAGTCAATATGTGTAAGTCGGCATGCAGAAATGTTTTCAAACGATTAGGTATTATAATTTATGATCCCCAAACGAGTTTACAGTGGCATTCCAAATGTGTTTAAATGTCGAATATGTGCATTGTTATGTTAATACTATTATACGGTAATGGCCATAAACTGTTTTAATGTAACGCGTGCGTTTAACTGTGAAATATATTAAATTACTGTAATCGACTGTGACTTACGGCCAAAGAATTGCGTTTATAATGTTTTGAATTTTTCCGTATTTTCTAAGGTCACGGCGAACCGCAGCCCTTGAAAATTACCCACAATCCGGATTGTTTAGAGCCATTCGAACAGCCCACGGCGATCACAATAATATAAATATGCATAAATCATGCATCTGTTTTTTTCTATTTACTAATTATAGGTACTTTAATTTCTTGCCATAGTATTATAATACATATTATTCTAAACATACATTTTAAATGCTGCCTAAAAAAAACCCGAGACTTGTATAACACAACATGGTTAATGAAGTAGTTTCTATGTTGTGTACATCATGTGAATCCCTCCAATAGGCGAAGACGGATTTCAATATTTCATATCATTCTTTAACCCGACATCGCTCACATCCTTTACTATTTAAACGTTTCTCTAAACGTTATAACCCGTTTCCTTACTTATAATTCGTC